GTAAATTTTAACAATGCATTATTTGTCAATATTTGCTTTCTTTCTTTCTTTCTTTCTTTTCTTTTCTTTTTTTTCTTTCTTTGGTTTTTCGAGACAGGGTTTCTCTGTGTAGCTTTGGAGCCTATCCTGGCACTCGCTCTGGAGACCAGGCTGGCCTCTAACTCACAGAGATCTGCCTGCCTCTGCCTCCCGAGTGCTGGGATTAAAGGCGTGTGCCACTAATGCCGGGCACCAATCTTTGCTTTCTATACCCATTTTTATACAGTCATATGCCTGAGTCATGTGAAATTTTCCTGGGTGAGAAGGCTCTAGCATATATTCACATGACAGTACACACCCTAGGACACAGACATTCAGGGCACAGACATCCATAATTTGTAGAGTGTGAACCCAGCTGTGGCATCTCTGGCTCCATACTCCAGGAGTGGGACATTATCTTGTCACCTGGAATGAGAGACTTCTGTCAACACCTTCCCAGGTTCTTCACCCTTTTCCTTCAAAATGAACTCTGTCTGCTCAGCTCAGGAGGCAGAAGGAAAATCAAGAAAGGCAAAGACAGAAGGCATCTATTTCTCAAAACTTCCACTTTACCACCGGAAACAAATGTCTCCTTCCAAATTAAATGCCAGGTTGTAAAGCCCAGGAGGGAGGTGGGGTGCACTCTGGTACTGGGTGTGGCCACTGTCCTGGGGTGTTAGGCTCAGGACTCTCCCAGCTGATCTTCCAGAAACCATTTCTCCTCAGGATCAGCATTTTTGTGACATCAGGGCCAGGTGTCCCTCTTCAGGTCACTGCCTGAAGGAAATTCTTTGAACCTGTGAGGAAAATAAGTTAGGTCAGGAGGCTCATCTGTGGTGGCCGGGAGCTAGCCCACCTGCCTTTCAAACCCTGTTATCTCCAAGAAGTTCTGACAGCAGACATCTGAAGCAACATTGCTCTAGACTACACAGATTTCAGTTCTAAACCATTACTTCCTGTCTGGGGAAGGAAGATGGACGGAACTTTCTGTCTGTAAAGTTCTGTTCAGGTAGAAACCAAGACCAACAGTGGTTAAAGCCAAAAAGACCGGAGGCTTGGAGACTCATGAGGGAGGCAAATTCCCAGCCACTTCTTGGGCATGTACCTTTCAGAAATCAAGTTTCATACCCTGCCTTTTCCTTAGCACTCAGATCCCTCAAAGGTGGGGTGAGGGGGGAAAGCAGGAGGCGGGGACAGCCAAGCTCGCTCTGCATACTTCTGACTCACCCAGCCTTTAAAACAGCCGATTCAGGTCATGAAGTGAATACTTTCTAAAGTTGTCTTTAGAAAGTGTTACAGGGCCGGAGAGAAGCTCAGTGGTTAAACGAGCACGGGCTGATCTTCCAGAGGACCTGGGTTTGATTGGCAACACACATGTGACAGCTCGCAACCGTCTGTAACTGCAGTCCCAGGCAATCTGCCATCCTTTTCTGGCCTCTATGGGCACTGCATGCTCATGGTGCACAGATATACATGCAGGCAAAGCACCCATTCACATGAAATAAAAATATTAGAAGGTTAAAAAAGAGTGTCATAAAACTCCAGCCTATTTTGTCTGGACTCCCTTAGCTCTTTATGTTGCAAGAATGAAGCATAACAGTGTCTACACCCAGATGACTCACAGGCTCTGAGGCATGGGTGTTTTTCCAGGCCTTCTTAGGGCAAAGCTGGCAGTAACCTGGCCAGGTGTTCCAAGGGCAAGCACCTTGTCCCGTGTCCTCTGGTAGCTAAAACACTCCCTGCAGGCCAGGTGGGCAGCAGAAAAGGGAAGGCAAACCTCAGTACCCCTCCCCAGCAGCTCAGTTATTCTAGGCCCTTCCCAGGCCCTGTTTGGAGTTGTGAAATGGAGGGTAGGAGGCACTTACAAGGTCATGTGCATTTTGGAGGGTTCCCAAATTGACATTTTCCTGTTTTAAGAAGTTTGTACTTTAATGTATGGGACATGCAGGTTAAAACAAGCAAAGAAACTGAGGCCCAAAATGTTTTTTTTAATTAATTGTTTTTTTGGTTCAGGTACTCATGTCCCTGTGCATAAGCATACATGTAGGATATGGGTGCACACACTTGTACACACATGTAGAAGCCAGAAGACGGTATCAGATGACCTCCTCTATCACTCTTGCCTATTCCTTTTAGGCAGGATTTCTCCCTGTGAAGGGACCAGCTCCCCTTTCGGCAGCCATAACAGCCAAACCCGTGCTTGCCATAACCTTGCCTTGGTCACTTAGAGGTCAGATGCCTGCTTCCTGGCAAGGAACCAATCAGAAGTTAGCTGGTGGTGCTATGCTTTATGGCTCTGGGTGTGCTTTACGGACAAGCGCACAGCAATGACGCACAGAGCATAGCAACCACCCTGGGAGGGCCTATGGGCCATAACAATCAGTTGACCAATCAACACAGGGCAAGCCCTCCAAGCCTGGAGGCACACCAATTCTGAGCCTGTGCATACCCCTAGACACTCCCCTTACGCTGCCCTATAAAGATCTGTACGCAGCGGCTTCGAACTGTCTTTGCTAGCCATCACCATGGCAGGTGGGTGAAAGATCCGAGCTAACATGTGGTTAGCTCGTTAAATTACAATAAAGCCTCATGAAGTTTGCATCAAGCTCTCGAATCTGCCTGGTGATTGGAGTGACCTCGGTCGTGGCCTGGGACCCCGGATACCTGAGTTTTCCGGGGACCTAACACCTGCACCTAGGGCTCATGTTTTATTCAGCTAGATTGGAAGCCAGCAAGCCCCAGCATTCCTCCTGTCTCTGCCCCTCTTGGCATTGGCATGCTTGGCTGGTTACATGGATGCTGGGATAAGCTGCAGCCTCCATGACCGTACAGCAAATGCTCTTGATCACTGTCCTAGTTTAGTTTCTGTCACTGTGAAAAAGCACTGGGCAAATACAACTTGGAGAGGAAAGGGTTTATTTGGCTTATAGCTCATACTTCATCATTGAAGGAATTTGGATCAGAAACTCAAAGAGGAACCTAGCACTGTGGGATTTCAATCCATTTAGCCAATGACTTTTAGGGTAGCAAGTTCTAAGGCATAGTCTTGTCTGCCTACTCGGAGGCTGAAACCTTAGGGAGAGGATCATGCATACACCCTCATCCTCTCTCCGTCTCTTGGGTGGTCAGAGCAGAGGAGGCAGTGGAGAGGTGGCTTGTGGTTGGTGCTCTTTACCTCGGGGCAGAACCACTGGATAAAGGCAGCTGGATCAGCAGTGGCATCTAATTGGTTCTGTGTCAGTGACTGTTTGTCCCTATCCTATACCTAAGTAAATTCTTGAGACTCTCACGGCCTCTTGTAACAAGTGGCGCATAACATGAGGCCTGCCCAGACACCTCCCCCCTTCTCATAACAACCTAGAGGTAGGAATTCAAACAGAGGCCACGAAGGGATACTGATTTACTGATGTGCTCCCCATGGCTTGCACACCTCTCTTTCTTGTACCATCCAGGAGTACTTGCCTCCCACATCAATCATTAATCAAGAAAAATGCCCCACAGACATGCTACAGGACATCTGTTGGAGGTCATCCCTCAACTGAGGTTCCTTCTCGAAAGATGACTCTAGTTTATGACAAAGCCAACAAAGCACAGCCACTGACCCCTCCTCACGCCCACCCAGCACCCCCAAAAGAAAACTTTTGTTAAGCAACATGGAAGAAATGATATCACTAGCAATGCAGACTGGGGCAAGGAGAGAACTGACAACTACCATCAGATAAAACGGCCACAGAGGTAGCACTGAGTTACCCTTTGGATGTATACTTCCTCACTGGAAGGAATTGTTGCTTGGAGACAGCTTCTGCCTCTCTCATTGAACAAAGAAATCTTTCCAGGCCTCACTCTTCAATAAAGGTGACCATATTTTAAAAATTCAGGTTTCCCAGCAAAAATACAAGCATTTTAATTATTAATGGGTTGTAACAAAAGCAGTCTTGGGAAATCATTACTTTTATGGAGAGAATAACCCAAGCACAGTTCCCATATTTACCGAGGACAATTTTGTTTGCTGCGTGGCATCTATGAGTCATTTGACGCAAAACAGCTGCAGGACCTCTGCTCTCAGGATGTGATGGCTCTGCCAGGAACTGTGCCCTGGTTTGAGGTCTAGTGCTGACAGAATTTGCATAACAAATGCTCCAGCCACTAAGTCTACCTTGGAGAGTCTACCTGCCCCTTCCCACAGGTCCCAAAGGGTGGTATTCCCCCTTTCTCTGGCCCCAGCAAGAAGCAAGGACCTTCAAATTGACAGACTCGGAGTGCTGCCTGGCTTCTGACCACACTCATGGGTAGATTTGCTTTTAATTTATATAATTTCTATCATACAGAAAAATGGCAAGTGGAGTTGGAGAGATGGCTCAGTGGTTAAGAGCACTGGCTGCTCTTGGGGGGGGGGGGTTGTTCAATTCCCAGCACTCACATGGCAGCTCACAACTGTCTGTAACTCCAGTGCCAGAGAATCTGACACTTTCACTCAGAGATATATGCAGGCAAAACAAAACAATGCACATAAAATAAATGAATAAATTTTAAAAAAAAAGAAAAAAGAAACATGACAAGCAAGAGAAATACAAAGAATTTATAAATATGTGTCTCACTGTGTAGTTCTGGCCAGCCTCAAACTCACACAGAGATCTTCCTGCCTCTGCCTCTGCCTCTGCCTCTGCCTCTGCCTATTAAAGGCATGCACCATGAACTCCACCCAGCCCAAGATTTATTTATTATATTTATTTATAGTTATGTGTGAGTTTTATGTGCACCATATTTGTGCAGATGCCCACAGAACTCAGAGGGCATTGGCTCCCCTGAAACCATAGGTACAGAGTTGTAAGCAACCTGATATAGGTTCTGGAAACCAAATTCAGGTCCTTTTTGCAAGAGCAGTAAGCAATCTTGCCTGCTGAGTCATCTGCCCAGCCCTTCATATAATTCCTGTTCCACAGCACTAACTTAGTCCATTTCCTAGTGCAACAATGGATCACCTGATATTGATTCACTTATAAAGAAACAGGTTTACTTTGGGTCATAGTTTTATGAAGTTCAGCAGTGGGTTGGGCCCTATGCTGCTTGAAGTCACAGAGAAAAGCAGAAGTGCAAACAGATTCTGTATATCAAGGAAAGGAGCAAAAGGGAGACAGGACACATTGTAGCTACCCACAGTTGTAACAGCTAATACCTGCTCATGGGAACTCCATGCAGGAGAAAAGTGTCCATGACCCAAACACTTCCTATAGGCCCCACCACTTCTCAAATCTTTTAAGAGTTAGGAGAGAATATGCTGTCCTTTCCCCATAAATACTTCAGTGTGAATTTCCAAGGACAAGTTAAGTCAGACATTTTGTTTTGTTTTTGTTTTCTGAGATACAGATCGAAAGCAGCCAAGGCTGACCTTGAATTTCTCATCCTTTAGTTTCTAGCTCCTATGTATAACCTGTAATGTATGTACACTAGATATGTACCACCACATCTACCTTTTAAGAAATGTGTTCTTTGCACAACCACAGTGCAGTTAATTCAATCAGAATTATCCATTATCCTCATCTAGTTAGTTCCTTGATTGCTCCAGCAATCTCCTTACTTTTTTTTTCTCCCCAGTCTAGGACTAAATCCAAGACCACACAGCATTTTGTTGCCAGGTCTATTAATGCTCTTTTATTCTGGAACAGTTTGTGAGACTCTCTTTTTGTTTCCTGTCTCTGATATTTTTTTTAGATAGGTCAGTTGTTCACAGAATGCCTTCGAATTTGGGCTTGCCTTGTGTTTCCTCATGAGTAGACTTGAGACATGCATTTTGGCAGGGCTATCATGGGAACGATGCTGTATTCTTTTCTAAGCATATGATATTAGATACCAGTCTATACTAAAATACAGCTATTTGGTGACTCGAATCAAGTATTGTTGGCTACTACCTATGAGAAACCTTGTTAGCTCCAGGCCTGCTGTGAGCAGCAAATTAGGTGAGGGCTCAAGGTCCTGGTATAATGACATGGTATTTATATAGAGCCTGCACACAGCCTTCCGGATGGCCTTGAACTTGATATGCAGCCAAGGATGAATATAAATTTCTAGTCCTTCTGCTTTCACCTCCCGAGTGCCAAGATTACAGGTGTGTCACTACTCATGTCTTATAAGATGGTAGGTATCTGCCTCGGGGCTTTGTACATAACAGACAGGTTCTCTACCAACTGAGCTATATCCCTGGCTTTCCTTCCTTCCTTCCTTCCTTCTTCCTTCCTTCCTTGCTTCCTTCCTTCCTATCTTCTTTCTTTCTTTCTTTCTTTCTTTCTTCCTTTCTTTGTAGGGGGTGGGGAGAAAAGATCTTGCTATGGAGCCTAGGTTGGCGTTGGATTTGTGATTCTCCTTCATCAGTTTCCAGAGTGCTGGGGACACATGTTCACCATCACTTCTACCTATAAATTTCATTGACTTTTTTTAAAAAAAATTTTTTTTAATTGTTTGGGCTGGCAGATGCCTCAGAGGTTAAGAGCACAGGCTGTTCTTCCAAGGACCCAGGTTAAGTCTCCAGCACCCATATGGCAGCTCATAATTGTGTATAATTCTAGTTTTAGAGGATCTGACACCCTTTTCTGGCTTCCTTTTGGCATGGAGCCACACATGTAGTACATAGACATATATGCAGTCAAAAGACCCATATACATAAAAAAGAAATAAACTCTAAGAAATAAAAAGAAGCTCTTTTAGCCTTCTGCCATCTTCCTTGAAACTCCTGCTACGTGAGAGTGAAGGGAGAAGCAAATGTGAAGGCTGAAAGAAAGAGAAGAAATGTGAGGCAGAGGTCCATGTAAATTACCCGTGCATCCCCAAAGGCTGCGGGAACAGAAAAGGGATGCTGAAGGCTGAGACACAGCGGAAGGCTGTGTGCAGGCTCTATATAAATACCATGTCATTATACCAGGACCTTGAGCCCTCACCTACCGGTCATTGGACTGTGTGCTACTGTCAACAATAAGTCTCAGTGGATCTAGAGCATCACCATCTGCTCCCAGAGGCTGCCCGAGAGACTGCCTGCCTTCCTTAGCACCACTTCCTTAGTCCCACTGGCCCTCTGTCCTGGACCTCCAGTGAGTTCTGTTCTCACTTGTGGCCAAGTATACCTCGTGTACAGTAAGTCCTGTTTCTTGGTGTCTCAGCTGAAGAATCAAAATAAGTAAATACAAATTAAAAACCAGAAATAGTTTCTGCATTTAATAGCAAACTTACAGAAATA